TTACCTTCTAGTAAGAAGGTCAGTACTGTGCCTCTGGGGGGCTTCAGTAACAGACATTACCTTCTAGTAAGAAGGTCAGTACTGTGCCTCTGGGGGGCTTCAGTAACAGACATTACCTTCTAGTAAGAAGGTCAGTACTGTGCCTCTGGGGGCATCAGTAACAGACATTACCTTCTAGTAAGAAGGTCAGTACTGTGCCTCTGGGGGGCTTCAGTAACAGATATTACCTTATAGTAAGAAGGTCAGTACTGTGAATTTTTCATTTCCAGCTAAATATTTACTTTATTCATAAGTGTGATTGAGATTACCACTTAAAATTGTAGCTAGATGGGGGTTTATTTTGTCTGTTTCTCTACTTTCCGTGCAAGGGTACCCGCAGAAAAAAAAATTAGGGGGTCAATACCCCTGTAATTACAAATACCTTATGATTTTCCAATAATATAGAAGAATAATTTTACATGTCCAGTAATTTTTTTTTAAATGGGGGGGAGTGACCCCCTTGCCCCTTCCGGCAGGCACCCATGCTTCCATGTGAAGATGCCCACTGAAAGTCTCACAAATGTTTATGTATTACTAACTAATTTTTTTTGTCCCTAGTAATGTTCCCCATTGATATCCTGATTGATTAGTGTATTGATCTTTTAAGTGGTTGTCTTAATGTAAGAATGAAACTAGTCTTTTTTTTATTAATGAAGAACAAATCAAAACAGCTCACAAAGATGTAAAGAGGTAGATGTAATATAAGTCGACCACCAAAACATTTTCAAGTCAACCTTCATATGTCTCATGCGTATAGATAGTTCAGATATGATTTAGAGGTAACCATTTGGCCATGGAAAAAATTAGGATGAAAACAGTGTTTTTTGGCAGTCATCGCTCTAATAACTTTGAGTGAACAACATCAAACGTGGGTTATAAATAGAGTGATTGAACACCTGAATAATAGAATAACATCAACAGAGGATGTCAACTATGTATTTAAGGCACATTTCATGATCTACAAGACATCGGGAAAAATAATGTTAAGCATAAGCTGGAGAAAAAAAAATCTTGAATTCATGCATCTGAAGCTAATTCCTTTAAGAAAGAAGCTTAGAGAAACAAACATCAAGTATTATAATTATAAAAGTACAAAGTCAGACCTAAATTATTGTTGAAATGTCATCTGTGCTAAGGTCATACAAATTGGCCACAAGCAAAACATTGTAAAAAGTAAGAACAGTGTTACAAGATAATTCATTATTATTTTAAGCATGTACTTTGTGGAGTATTAGAAATGGATGGTCATGTGTAGACACATTTCTCATTTGAAGAAAATAAGTCATAAGGTAAATGTTTAAAGCAATCATTTGCAGGTGATTGATTGGATCAACATCTGATTTTTTGCACTCTTTGTTGTTATACAAACATGTTGGCTATAGACATATTAAATATCATATTTTACTTTTGTTTTGTCACACTGGCTGAAGTTGTAGTTGATAAATATAGAACTTGATACCCAGCTGTGTTCTTTGTTATAGTGGTATCAATGGCAGACATTTTTACTTATTCCTTCTGTTTTTCAGGTATTGGCGGCAGACTTCCTGGCTACTCCATCGTCCACTAAACTTCTCAAATTGGGTAGCAGTGGAGGTTCATTAATTTTATCTGAGCTTGGGGTCAGTATCATTTACAGCCACTAACTTTATATTTTAGTAACTTAGAGGAATAGTTTTATAAGCGATCAGTATAGTTGAAACATCTAAATTTAAAGAATAATCCTTTACATAAAATATTCAGTATACAGCTAAAAGTAATTGTTGAACTTGTTCAATGCTGTCATGATAAAAGTTTCTTGCTGATGTTACTCAATGAAAACAATAAATAAAAAAGGATTATTATTATTTTTTCTCTCAGATCTGCTATTTCATAACAGATATCAAAGGCTCCACACATAAACAGCTGCTTTAATATTCCTCAGTTTTATCTGATATATCTAATAATCTTTCACTGCAAATTAACTATTGCTTCATTTTATGCCACCATTCTCATTAGATCTTAAATCCTGTCAATACCTTTGAACTGTTACAAGAAGTCTTGTGTTTGTTTGTTTGCATTCTGTTTCATTTGAGCTGTTTACTTTGTAGTTGTCATTGTTATCTGCTGATGTTTTTAACATGATCTACAAAATGCCATATACAATTGTCATCTTCCACATGTTAATCAAGTTCATTTGATATACGGGGCCAGGCATGGCCTAATGATTAGCATGCTGAACTATAGGTTCAAGGGTTCATGGTTTGCATCCTGTGACTGGACAAACAAAAACCATGCTCTATACTTTTGCCATGGGTGCGTTATAGGAGTGATGGTCAAATCCTACAATTCAGTAAGAGTAGCTAATGAGTTTGTGAAGATACAGCTGCTTTCCCTCTAGTCAGTCAGTTCAAAATGAGTGACAGCTAGCACAAATAGCCCATGTGTAACATGCATGAACAGCTAGCACAAATAGCCCATGTGTAACATGCATGAACAGCTAGCACAAATAGCCCATGTGTAACATGCATGAACAGCTAGCACAAATAGCCCATGTGTAACATGCATGAACAGCCAGCACAAATAGCCCATGAAACAAACAACAAAACATTTACTACGGTACTTGCTGACAGTTTTACTTTTTAATGATTTGTTTACTGTCCTGGATATTCATTTGTTTATTGTCAATCTTTTTGTCATTAATGCATGCCTGTCTGCTGTGTGGATGATCATTTATCAGTGTGTTGTCATCATACCATCCATGCTTTAGATAGTCCTGCCATCCATTTAACTATATATTGTATGCCATCTGTGCTTCATTGTTCTGTCATCCATGTAACTATATATTTTATTCCATCTGTGCTTCATTGTTCTGTCATCCATGTAACTATATATTTTATTCCATCCATGGTTCACAGTCCTGTTAACCGTGTAACTATGTATTTTATTTCATCTGTGCTTCATAGTCCTGTCATCCAATTAGCAACATATTTTATTCCATCTGTGCTTCGTTGTCCTGTCATCCATTTAAATACATATTTTATTTCATCCATGCTTCACAGTCCAGTTAACCGGGTAACTACGTATTTTATTCCATCCATGCTTCACAGTTCAGTTAACAGTTTAACTACATATTTTATTCCATCCATGCTTCACAGTCCAGTTAACCACGTAACTACATATTTTATTCCATCCATGCTTCACAGTTCAGTTAACAGTTTAACTACATATTTTATTACATCTGTGCTTCACAGTTCAGTTAACAGTTTAACTACATATTTTATTCCATCTGTGCTTCACAGTCCAGTTAACTGTGTAACTACATATTTTATTACATCTGTGCTTCACAGTCCAGTTAACTGTGTCATCTACTTCAGTGTTTCTCAACCTGTGGATTGCAGCCAAATAGTTGGATGCAAAGCAATTTGAGGCATCCCGAGAAAAGGCTTAAGGTTAGATAGTAACATTTTAAAAACTGTTGCAAAGCAGCAAAAGTATAATGCAAACTGCATAATACCTCACAAAATGCTAACTATAAGTTAATGTCAGGCACATGAACCTTGCATAGTAACTATGAAATAACATTGCCATACGTGTCATACTTTATAATTCTTTTGTGGTAGGCCGTGAGAAATTTCTTAAAGTTTAGATGAACCATATTACTAAAAAGGTTGAGAAATGATGATCTATTTAACTACTTATTTGATTCCATCCATGCTTCAAATAGTAGTTGTATTATTTAACTACTTATTTGATTCCATCCATGCTTCAAATAGTAGTTGTATTATTTAACTACTTATTTGATTCCATCCATGCTTCAAATAGTAGTTGTATTATTCCTGTAACTACATGTTTCATTACATAATTTGTCCATAGCTCTGTCCATCTTTCCATTTATCTTTTTATTATTTCTATACAGCTGTTATTCATATACCCATCTGTCTATAGGAAATATTTCTACTGTTTTTTTTATCAGCAATTTCCCCAAACTTAATTTCTGAACTAACAAGTTATACTACTTCCACTTTGAAAAATTAACCAGTCAGGAAGAAAAAAGGTCTTAGTTATACTTTAAGGTCACTGTATGTATACCCATGTAAGTCTATTAGATTGTTAGTTTTTCAGCCAGTTGACTGAGAGTTATATATATATATATATCTGCATAACTACACATTTTTTCTTTCATTTACCTGGTAGCCAAGCCAATCCTTTTAACAAATAATTTGACTGTTTTTGGTCAAGAATTTATCATTCATTCTTTTCTTCTAGTAATTAAATATATATATCTATCTGTTTTTAATACCTGTATTCCCTAGTATCAACCTATGTGGACACATTTATGTCCCTATAAACACTTAGTAGCAAAACAAAATGTTCTTGCTTTGTTTATATGCTAACAATGGTAGTTTGGCATTTTGTCAGTTGACTGAATAACATAAATTGTTAGGACTACTAAAAGGTATCTTTTACTGTGTCGTGTTGACTAATTATAAAGATATATTTTCAAACTGTGTTTCAAATAACACAGCTTGAACTTTTTGATGAACTAACTTTTCATTCTGTGCGATCATATTCAAAGGTAACATATAATAAGATGAATGATTCACAAATTTAAATCATGTTTTAGATTTACTTGTTTTTCGTGTTATTTTACAGAACAAACCAACACCAGATGCATATATAGAAGCATTTATTAAGGTATGTTTTTGATTAGCCATTGTTAATTCCTTATTTTCATGATATAGCAGGGTTTTGAATAGCTTTTTTTTTTTTTTTGCTGACAATTTTTTCTAATCCAAACTACTTAACTTTCAAATTACTAATTTATTTTAATAATAATCACTATTGGTGGAAGGACCACATAGTGTATCATATTGTGTACTCAATATAATGAATTAGCCAAAAATAACAACAACAAAGAGTGAAACCACCTTGTACTAAGTACACAGTAATTAGTGGAATTAATTTCAATATTCATCAAATTATTGTTAATTTTGATTTCTTTATATGTGACATATGTTGCTTTGGTATCTTGTAACCACAGTAATGGATCCACAAGCAATTTAGTGCACAAATTGTTGAGAAAAATGTGTTTTAAAAGCTAGTGTGGGTCCACATGGACTCCTTTAGCAATCTATAGTTAAACACTACTTTGGATAAAAAGTGTTGTATAATTTTACATTTATCAATAAAACAATTTCAGTAATGAAATACTAAAATTACAAATTTTGAGTGTTAGGGCTACTACCAGACTGTTTTTTGTGACGTTCCTTATTTTACCCAGAACAACATGCACTATCTACATTACTGGTCATAAGTAGGGCTGTAACCTCTAGACATCACTTGAACAATCATTGAAGGACACTGCTGTCAACATCCTTACACAACATGTCATGTTAAACAATGTTCTATCTTGGCAGTAACAGGTATTATCTACTTTCAAGAACAACAACGGTAACCTGAAGCAAGATCAACTTAATGGTTTTCTCAACCACATGTTATGTGAAAATTTCACATATTCATAACAAAGAATGACTGTAGAATAGATATTATAATACTACTATGGTATATTGAGATACAGCAACGTGTTAGTCAAGTAGGAACTTCAAATGACATTTGTCATGAGTAAATGGGATTTTCTACACTTTTATATTTGGTTATCATGAGTCTTTTATAATTCTTACACTTTTCTTGATATAATGAAGGTTTGTATGGCTGATGTAAGATATTAACAGTTAGAAGATATTTAAAAATTCTGATAATCTTCATGATCCACAGGAAAAGTTATATGTTTACATATCTGACGTGACTGAAGAACAGACTTCACAAAAATTCATGAGAAGCTGTGCATATAGTGTTTGAAATATACTTTACTTACGACTAATTAGTTCATACACAATGCTCATCCTTTCTTTTCTGCCAAAATAATCATTTTTGGTCATGAGCAAAAATGTACAAAGTACTTGTTAATTTGGTGAAATGTTTAATGAATTGAAAACAAAGCTATCCAGTAAGGTTTTGTCATATTTTAATATAAATCACATTCACCATGAATAGCTGTTGTTGTGTAAGTAAGTAAAGAATATGTTCATTAATGTTCACTCCCGGTTTTTCTTCCAAACAATAAAAACATAATTCATTAGTCCTTACTCAGAAATTCCTCTGGAATTGGTTTAAGTCAAACATGTTGTTTTATATAAGAATTCTGTTCTCATTTGTTAGTTTCTAATCAATTATAAGGCTGTTATTTCCACTTAGTTGGAAACTAATTTGATTCTTCTTTATAAAAACAAAAGTCCTAATGAAAAGCTTGTATTAGAGGTGAATATTTGATGTGATTTTGACCTTATAAAATTTCCGAAAATCTATTTGATCATTCCTTGACATTTTATCCAACCTTTTTACCAACTTTGATCCAATTCTGGTAAGTTTTTTTAGAAAAGTATCATTCAAGAGATACAAGTTATTATTTGTTATAAACTTGAAAAATAGTCATTGAAACTTGGTTGATGGATGACCTCAGACTCTTGTAAAAGGTTTGTATTTAGGATAACAATCTTTGGGGGGGGGGGGGTTATTTTCAGACAGGCCCCCAGTGGCACAGTGGTATGTCTGCAGACTTATACCACTAGAAACAGTGTTTTGATATTTGTGGTGGGCAGAGAACAGATAGCCCTTTGTGTAGCTTTGTGCTTAATAACAAACAACAACAACTTTTGAGGCAGTAGTACAACTAGTCATGGAATAAACCATAATGAAACGTACACCATCTTTGTGTAAGAGCTTGAGATACAGTGCTGGCTGATGTTTGAAAACAAATCAGTAAAATAATATACAACTTAAAACTATTTCTTTGAGATATTGTTGTAACTGGTTAATCACTGTGTTAAAATTATCTTTCTTAGGGTTATGTAACAGTATTTTAATTTTATTGTGTAATTTGTTTTTGTTCTATTCAGTAGACATGAATTCAATGATTTTCTGTAGATGGCAGCACCAACTTGATTCCTATTTTTTTGTGCACTTTATTAGTGTAGGTTTCAATTTATCTATTTTATTCCTAGAATGCGAATTGAACTTTTTCTTGATAAATTGCTCATATTTACTAATTTCACAATAATAATTTTCCTCACTGGTTTGAAAAAATGTGCAGATGTTTTGCTATGTACATTTATGGCACTGCAGCCTCACTATGTGTTGTATAAGGTAGTACTTAAAATATTAGTTAAATTATTTACCAGTACAATAATTAGGTGACAGAGAATAGTGTAGTATGTTATGGTAATATTGATTGTGTTCAATGTGTTGTATAATGTAGTACTTAAAAGATTAGTTAAATTATTTACCAGTACAATAATTAGGTGACAGAGAATAGTGTAGTATGTTATGGTAATATTGATTGTGTTCAATGTGTTGTATAATGTAGTACTTAAAAGATTAGTTAAATTATTTACCAGTACAATAATTAGGTAACAAAGAATAGTATAGTATTTTAATCTAGGTGCATTTCATACTACATGTATACAATAACAGTGGAAACTTTCTGTAAATAATCCCATTAGAAAGTATTGTTCTATCATTGGGTGTGTTCTTTTTGTATTATTTAGCAAAAATAATGCTAAATCCAAGCTACTTTTACCTATAGGCCTAATTTCAAATACAGTGGTTCAAATAATGTGTAACACATGTTCTAAAACTAATGCATGTTTAACTCAATTATAAACTTGCAGAATATCAAGTAACTTTCACTGTCTAATTGGCAATGAACCAACTCAGTTACTAACTCACTGCTTCACTTTCTAATTGGTAATTATAACATTACTTGGTTTTCTACTTAGTACAGGAAGCTTCTAAATCATGATGTGGTGATTCATTCCCTCTAGCAAACAAATATCTAAATTAAAACATTGAAACTATAGCTTACAACAGTTTATTGAACTAATATTGTTTTTTGTGTGAATATTATAATTGAGTAAACATCACAAACAATTTTTAATCAACAAATGATAAAATTTTTGGCAAAACTACTGCAACATATATATTAACATATGTTTTTGATCTTCTGATAACAGTGATTTAGAACATTTATATGTATATATATTTTTTAAAGTTTATATTAGTAAGGCTAAGAAGGCTCATACCATAATATGAGTATACATTTGAAAAGTAATGTTTGTGGTCTAAAGATTTTATTTCACTGAATAAATTTATTCAAGTCATTACTATATAATTTATTTATTTTCTGATTTTTTTTCATTGTTTATATATGTGTGTTTACAGATTTCGTCAGTCATCAGGCCTGAATCCGATCTTGACGTGAAAACAGCAGCACAGAATTGTGCAGGTACACTTTAATAACTGTAGTTATAAGCAGATTGAAATTTACCATTCCCATCATATCTCATAACAGATATAATGTTCTAAATCAAAGAAAGCCTGCAAAGTTTAATAGTAGGAACCAAAATATGTTTGATATTTCAACACATAAATATGCCCTCTGCAAAAACTTTCTATCCCAATATTTTTTATTATGGCTTTGCAAAGAATGTTGATTTCTATGATGGCTTTTAAGTAACCGATAAATTCTGTTTTAAACATATTTTTCTACAGTTAGTACTTCTTAGTTTCCAAGTCTTACATCATTTATAAATTTCATATAAATTAGTTAAAACATTTGTAATTGTGAGGTCAACTGAAACTAACTGTGTGGATATTTTATGGGAGTAAACTGTTTGCTTGTTTAAATTTTTGTGCCTCATGTAACCAGGGTGCATATGTATCCTTGAAATTAAGAATGGAACTTTGAGGGCTTGAAAAGGGGTCTTTTTCGAAAAAGTACTTGAAAATAGTATAATAGCTGTGCTCTTTTTTTCTTTATTATTGGTCACATAATGTGGAATTTATCAGCTTTTATTACAGTATATGGTTTGGAGCCAATCCAATAAACATCACAGGTGTTTGAATATTGGTCATCCTTCTGAGATGTTTGGAATTTTGCAGTATACTGTAAAGGCAAAGATAACTTGCCCACTTTATCAAGTGCCCGTATTAAGAACAAAAACTAAAGACACTGCCCTTAATCCAGGATATCGAGTTACCCACTATTACAAGATTTAATTTGGATATAAGTAGTAGAAAAAAGAAAGAGATTGAAAAGATCTTCCCTTAATGGCATGGTGTCTGTTGTTTGGAGGTGCACATTAATTGAGGTTTTACTGCACTGTACTGCATTTGTTCTAGTAGAAGAGAAAAAAAATATTTTTTTTCTTTGCTGCCCAATGTAGTTGCTCTGAAGATGAGAAAACAGTATCTTCAATGATTTTATTTCCTCAAAGTATTAAAAGTAAAATTGTCTTGACAATAGTGCTAAAGAGAATTTGTTGCTATAGAACAAGCATTTGTTAGTTGGTGTTGTTCTTTTCACAAATGTACTTTGAAAGTATATATATTTTAAAATTGATTTGTTCTTTACATTATGCTAGGAAAACCCTCTTGTGTGTGATTAAGCTATTTCTTTCAGTGTAAAAGTATTATATATATTACCACTCTCTCTCTCTCTCTAACATGTTCAGATGCTGTGTTCATGGCAGCGTATCAAGAAGCAGGTAGCTCTAGTACAGAATCTGTACTGACTAACACCCTTTTAGTATACTTAGGTCTTATCAAGGTAAGATTGATTTTAAAACTTCTCATTTTCTGGCATTTCTTTACATTTTATACAAACCCATAGAAAATTGTTAGAATATTGGGGTAGCATAAATATGGACATGAAGATCTGTGAATCTAATGTACTGAAAAAAAAAAATAATATTTCAGGTTTAAGTGACTTTTGGTTTGAAACTACCATTAATGCAATTATCTAGAATAAAATATATGTGACTAGGAGTGGAACATCAATTTTCCAGTCAATAGAAAATCATTTAGTGATCCCCTTGAAATTGGGAGATGTGTCACATTGGGATAGGAGGGGCATTGGCAATTTTTATGGTCTATT